CCAAGATAGCATCTCTAAAATCTTTTGGAAGGCAGACAATTTACCATTTGCACTGTTCACAAGCTCTTAATTTAAGCTTTTGCGTATATGCTTTATAGCCTACAAATCTTCCATTTTGAAACCGATCAACTTGCAAACATTTTTATTTCAAATGACAGGCTTTATGATATTTATCATTAGCCCCTTAGTTGACTTCAGCTTTCCCCAAGGGAGTGGGGGGGGGGGAGAACATATATAGCAGTTAATTAGCTGTCTTCTTGCTTCCCAGTATCTCTGGCTTTCGTCGTTGTCTTTAGGGCTGGACATCGAATCAGGTGGGTCTTCTCCATTTCCTCCTGTAAGTTACATAGGGGGCATGTGGGTTGAGTGTATACTCCCAATCTGTGAAGATGTTTTGCCAAGCAATCGTGTCCGGTACGTAGTCTAAACTCAGCAACGGCTTCGATTCTTGGCCAGTTGGCTTTGTTAAAGAGTGTCACTATTTCTCCTTTATTCGGGTTTTAATTTCGTTGCATCTTGAAGACTTGAATTCTCACGAGATTAGGGTCTTCATTGTGTGGAAAGACATAGGCCTGTCTATGCATCGCAAAATTTTTGTCCACTTCTTAGCAGGTGCGTTAGTGCGCTTGTTGCCTATAATGCCACAGTATTCTGGTATCCATTGAAGAACTACTGTTCTTTCACTCAGTAACAAATACAGATTTTTCATTAGTAAATCTCAGGTTTTCTGTTTCCAATTAAAGTTATTGCTGACTGTGAGTTCGAAAAAATTACTGCTTCGGTCAATTTCATATCAAGGTGACAAAATTGTCCTTGTTCTATTTTAATGGTCTATATTTCACCTTCGAATGTGTATCTATTTTGTCCTGCAGCTACGAAAAAGAGAATAGTTTAGAGTAAACGCCTGCACAAACGTTTGCTTGATTTTCTATGTATGACCTGTTAGGGAAGGCTTGAAGCCAACGAGTTAAATTGTAGATTTATATAAAGCAGTTGTTGGCTAACAACTTTTGCCATGGGTAGGCAGAATAAATAAATTTGAACCAAATTTTTATTGTTGTTTTATTTACCCTTATTTTAACGTTTATCTGCGTATGCGTAGCTGTGCATTTACCTGTTGGCTCTGCCGGAGTGCTCGAATCCCTGTTTAAAGTTAGCATTATGCATTGAAATTGCCGCCACAAAATAATCAATAACATGGAAGCGGTCAATCAAAACACACCTCGATTACTGCAATTAATAAAATCTGCCATTCTTTCAAAATTAGTGTCATTAATTCTTCCCGGACGGACTGGGATTCGATAAAATGGTTTTATTTTATTTTTATGGGAGTTGAAAATATTTAATATTTAATATTCAATATTTAAGCAGATGACATTGAAGCCTTGCGCTCTTAAATCTTTTGACGCAGATAATGAATCGAAATGCCGGTTTTGGCTTTCTTGAATTCCTTGTTCTCCTACTTCTCTTACTTTCTCTGGCATTTCCAAGATGGCCCTGCAAAGACTATATTCTTGGCGAAGATTGTTTTCGTTTTCACATATTTCGTGTAGTAGGAATTTTATTAACAATAGCGACTGTATCGTCCCTGCTCGCCACTATTTTCTTAATTTTGGTGATCTTCCATGGTTCCTCTTGGTTATACACTGCGGCACTTATTGCATCCGGTATAACGGCTCTACTTGGCATGGTGGCGACCTTTTATGACATCACTTCTGATCAACCTTGGTGTCCCATAGTTGCTACATTCAGTTCGGGCATATCGCTTGGTCTTTTTGCAACTCTTCTATTTGATTATCTCAGCGAAATTTCTCTTAAATAATACATCGGACTAAGAAACAATGTAATAGCGATTTCGATTTATTTTAATTATATTCATTAAATTAAGTTCATATTTTTATCTTTTTCAATACATATTCGTAATGAACTTGTCCAATACTTTCTGCATTGATAATTATGGGAAATAGGCAAATGGGTTTCTCCCATTTAGTATAAATATCAATTAATGAATCTGTTATAATGAGATAAATGTTTTCATCAATCAAATGGACTTACTATATATTATCGTCAAACAGATGAGTCGAAATGGATCGAATTGCGAAGTTCTTGAAGAATAAGCTGATTTACAATTTATATTAAACGAATAATGTTCAGCTTGGATTTTAAACGAAGACTTGTATTCGAAAATGCATGAAAATATTTAAAAGTTTCCGTAAATGCGTTTTCAGAATGAAAGGTACTGGAAGGCGGTTGAAGCGTCACAACGGATCCAAGTGCCAGGAACCTTTAGGAGTAGGCATTCTAAAACGTAAAAAACGGTTGTACGTAATTTCTTTCAGTTCTGGTTCTGGCTTTTGTTCGGTAGCAATGTCCTGTTGGCCAGGTGATGATACAGCAATTTGATCACACAAATTTAGCACATTAATATATGCGTACATTTATTTAAATAATATGTATCCACATCACTTGTGAAATCTCCGAATATAGTGTTTATGCAACTATTCAAACAAACTACAGTTGAATTTTGCAGTTATAACTGCTGCATATTAGAATATGAAGTGTTGAATTATGCCTTAATAGTAAACACCTTCAAAATGAATTCGAATTTTAATCCACATCACTCATTTATCTAAGATTAAAAAATCGTTCATACCCATAGCATATAGTTAAGTGGGTATTCTGGTCTAGAAAAAAATTCGAAATTTTTTTGCATATTTTCATAGTTTAACTATTCAAAAATATGTCTACGAGAGGATTTTCTAAAATTCAAATTATTTTCGAAGGTATAAGTATTTTGCTGAGCAGGCATCTAAATCGGTTGAGCTGCAACTGATCGAACAAAAGACATAATGGGTTCTCCGACTACCTGAATCTATATTGCTTAGTAAACCCTTTTGTTCCGTTATATCTATCTATATATATTTTTACATATATTTATATTTATATTTCACGGCAATAGATTTACGGAACAGGAAAACATTAGTTTTACGAGTGCATCAGCAGCAAAATTGAGGAAATCAATGAGTGCATCAGCAGCAAAATTGAGGAAATCAAATGATGAAGAAGTAATTATAGATAATAATTACGGCTACAGTGTTTTGGAGTTTTACACGGTCTTTTCAGCAATTTCTTCCTTTATACCGTGTACTGCATATAACAACGAGATTAGATTTTCAAGAACGGCTCAACGCGGACTCGGACTCAAAATTGCATTACAATCCAGTTGCAATAGTCTACGCTACATTCCATCATGTCCTCAATGCAGTTTCGATAGTCTACGCTACATTCCATCATGTCCATTCGTTGACAAATCCTCCAATGTTTACAAAGAGGAGTTATTGACTCGATGTTTTGGTTCAAAAACTCAAAATAATAATGGGTCTCTAAACTCGCTGATATGGACTTTCGCTCCAAAGCATATCTATTCCGGGTCTCAGATCATTGAAATTGCAACATTTATTGCTGTGTGTACTTTTAATGAAGACTTTATACCAATATTGAAGATGATGATGATTATGGGGGTGAAAATTGGTCCAGAAGCGCATGCATTTGCTATCAGACGAGACAACACCCAGATTGACCGCTCCGAGATACGAGCACCCAACGCATCAAAGGAGGCCAGAACTGCTCGAGTAGAAAGCAGAGACGCCGAAAATAGTTTTTTCGAAGTCGAGGAAGGTCCGATGTATGCAGCAGGAATGGCAGATTGAATAAATGTAAGTTGAACATAAAATTTTATGACTTAGACTGCAAAAAATTTTACTTGAAGCTTTAAACGCGTTTTTCTCAAAACTGTTTTTTTGAATCTGGTACCCACGATTTCTCAGATTCTGCCCAACCGAGTTACTTGAAAGTTTAAGAGAGTCTTCTTTAGGGACTTGCCTATGTCCGGAACTACGTCCATTCCCAAATTTTCATTTTTTTATTTTTTTGAAAATCGAAGAATGTTCAAAAAAGTGGTACAAAAGTGGTTTTTTTTCTTTAGACAGTCCCCATTTGGGATGATGGAGAAGCGTAAATAAAGGACTGTTGATCGTGCTTCCAAAATATGTCGGATGTCTTTGGCAGCATGATGCGCAGAAAACAGCTCTCAGCCAAAAATGATCTTTGGTGCTCCGGCAGGGTTGAGTTTTCCGCAATAATAACGTGCATCTAGAAAAATTCGAAGACCTTTTCCCCGAGTGAGTTATATTACAAGGTACGGTTGTTGCACTTCTCGGAGTTAATCCTGATTCCGTATTGTTCTAGATGTAGGAAACGAGGCACACCAAGTGATGGGCGGTAACTTCGGCTTAAAGCTGGATGTTCATGCTCCAGAAGGCTGTGGAGAAATACTCATACTTCTTTTTAAATTGATCCTAATAAATAATGACGATATGTATATCAAGCGCAGTAGAAGCGATGACATTAGATTAGTATTTGTAGCCTGTCAGTACTGCATAAGTAGAGCATAATTCATTCCTGGAGGCCCATGACTCATTGTAATGGTTTTATTATTTTTTGTAGAAGTTTTCGACGTTGACATAGTAATAATTGCAATTGAAAAACATCAGCAAAAGGAACATAATTTAAAATAGAGGCAATAAAAGCCCTGTGTCATCCTTCTGCTGGCAAAATAAATGAATGGGAATATGGGTTTCGGCCTACCCACATGGCTTGTTTTCCTATGCTCATATTTACTCTGGGAGTTCTGAGATGGCTCTGACATGGAAATGTTTTTGGAAAGAAATGTCGTCAAGACAAAACAATGATGGGGGGCAATATATTAATTAGAAAGATAAAAGAATTCGCCTTCATTCCTTCATAAACATAGACCGTGAATGAAAATATCGGTTCTGGTGTTCATGCTTAACTTGTTCTCATTCTGTCCTTACTTTCTCTCAGTGATACAAAGAAATCATAAAAACTCCCGAATTGAAGTTTGTAGGAATTCTGTTTACAACTCTGACTGTTTTGATCCCACTCGTTGCCATTTTCTTACTTTTGGTGTTACTCCAGGGTTCATCTCGGATGTTCACTGCAGCACTTATAACAGCAGGGTTATATGTAGTCTCTTTGTTGAAATGTCATTTGATTATCTCATTTAAAGATCTGTAGGGCAACGACCACAATAAAACATCAAATATTTTCTTATTTCTTCTTGCATTAATTAAATCTTTAATTCCTACAATTTTACAAAAAAATGGGGCTAAATTTCGCACAGTGTAAATTACAAATATCAGTAAATGTGTGTATTTCGCTAAGGACTCTTTTATAGTGTAAATATTTAAGTTTTTCATTCAGATTAGTTTAATTTTAGGTTCAAAGTCGATGAAACCTGAGAGGGAGAAGACAACGTGGGGTAAACAAGAACAAACCTCTGATTTTATTAATTCTAGACGGCCTGTGATTCAAGGCATGCATTTCTTACTTCTTTGTGTAAGTTATTATTGCAATGAAAATAATTGAAAATCAAGATGAGGTGCAAAAATTTGAATGATAAAACGTAAAATTGCCTTGCGTTTTCCCCAATGGATGCATATTGAGGCAAGTACTTTCTCTTTGTGTCCCGAAATGATCCTTTCTCTTTCGACTCAAACGAAAGATGTCGAAATTAATAATTAAATAAAATCTTTGGGATATTTAAGGTCAATGATTTAAATTTTGACTTTGTCTAAAGGCCTCTTAACATTCAAAGCAACGTCACGACTATTCTGTCGAGAAAAAGAGGATATATTTTTATTATAAACACAAAGGGTATCTCCAATTATTTAATTTGGCTTTACCGCCAACAAGCAAATGTTAAAATGCGATCATTTAGTCATATTTCTTTTTTAAAAATTTCTTCACCACAGCACGATAATACAAATGCAAATTCAGCTTTACAAGTTGACACTTATTTAGAAAGCAATGTTTTTATATACCTTCGCATTGTCATTACAACTGCACACAATAATACAAACAGGCTATTTTCTTTTTTAAACGAGTGGGAAGGAATAGAAGCGAAACATGATAGTGCTCAATTGATTGTGATTCCTCAAAACTCGAAATTCACTTTCATTTATGAAATGCTAAAATGAAGCAAGTGATGGCAACTTTTTGAAATTGAGCACAGAATGGAATCTTTATTGCTAATTAAAAAACGTAAACTGATATAATCGAACGACAGTGTCACAAAGAGACAAAGTGTTATACCTACAACAAATGCTTCGTAAATCAGTCTCCAGTGAGGTGATCATACAAAGTCGAAGTGAATAATTGGTACTGACGAAAGTAAAGTGAAAGAGATTATTGAAACATGCCCAAACTGGGTAGGCATTAGGGAAAAAGATGATGAGAGAACTTTGTAAGAGCTAAAGTAGCAAATTTAAGTATGGAATTCATGTTAGTTTTCTTCCTTAAGGGAATCATTTTCATTAATCCTAACGGACTTCTAAATGGCTCTGAGACATTCATCTAATGACTTTTGTGTATGAATAAGATAAATTAAAATTGCTGAATCACTCTAACTTAAATTCTGTAATATTAATGGGCACTTCTTTGAAGGAAAGTTTAACACCCAAATGAGGTAATTTAAAAAGATGATCTCTAAATCTTTTAAGTCTGTCTTTTTTTAAAGAAACTATTTAATGAATGATGCTGATTTTTCCTCAAGTTCAAGCATTCAAAAATGCTTTATTTAAAGGAATCAGGAGGCAGTAATTGAAATCAGAGCTTCAAAAGAACCTGATCTTTACGAATGGAATACATTCTAATACTCTATATTCTAATGCTGATACGGTTCCATTACCTAAGGAAATTTGGTTCTGGTAGCCTAGAGCTAACTGCCAATTCGATCAACTC